TGAACACAAGCTGCTTCCTACCAAAGAGCTATAAATATACATTTTATGAATAGAACAAAGAGGAAAGTTCATTTAAATGTTGCCAACAGACCTTTCTCTGTTTACAGTGTAGGTCCTTATGTAGAGATAACAGATCCAATCTGGAAAAGTTTTTGACAAAGCAGAGGAAAAACCTTGATTCAATAACTACACTATGGTCTGCCTGGACCTGCTGGTGCTGTACAAAGGGAGGCCAACTATTTGTTAGTCCATGGTTGGGATTTGGCGACCTTACAATCATGGCCTGTGTTTGATTGGTAATCAGGGAACACTTTATTCATTTTTATCCAGTGTGCTGATTTCCAGCCTTTATCCGTCAGTGCCCCACTTTGGCTCTAGAATCGGGCAGACTGCTTTTAGCTGTGTTATATTTGATTTCCCTATATTTACTTTTAACAAAGAATTCAGCATCATTATTGTTCTGTTTGTAAGACACAGGACAAGCACTTAAGACACTGCCTTGGAGATTATGCTTTTGTCCAGTGACATGGACAGTATATGGGCATGACTAATGTGAATGTTTCTTTTGTGATATTTCTGTACATAAGCATCATTTAATTAGATAAAGTAAGAAAAAGCACACATAAAAATCAGGCCTCAACCTGCAAGCAGGCTACTGTTTGGTTATTCTCAAGCTCCTTTCTAGAAAAACAAGCACATATTCTAGGCAGGCATGTTGCACTTTTAAAACCCTCAACCATTTTTTGGTATCATGCTATTCCCTGATTACAGGTGAAAATGGCATTACAGTATATCCTCTGCTGTGAGTCTAAGTCTAAGTACACTTTGCTCTGCTTGAATGTGTTGCAGTACCATCCCATATACCCTAGATGTTGGAATATTTATTTTCATTTGTCTATATTCCAGTTTATCCACAAAAGGAATGCTCATATTTCTGTGGTATAAGTGATTAAGTTGTCTCAAATGAGAAGCACAAGAGGCAACAAGATGCCCTGAATCATTCCCCTCAACAATTCCACACACTGAGACTGATAATGCAGTGTTATATTATGGCAGCATGGTGGTGCAACGGTTAACACTGCTGCCTCACAGCATGAAGATTCCAGGATTGAACCTTGTGACCAACTGGGCGCTTTTTGTGGGGAGTTAGCCTGTTTTCCCTATGCGTGCTTGGGTTTTATCCGAGTACTCCGGCTTCCTCCCACAGTCTAAAGACATTCAGGTTAGGTTAACTGGTGAGTCTAAGGACGTTTTCATACCTGCCTTGTTTTGTCTGGTTGAATCGGACTCTGGTACATTTTCCCTCATGTTGTGCTTTGTTTGGGAATGTCTGAACACAGCAATCACACTTGGGTGTGGACCAAAATGCCTGCACGGAGACCACATCTAGTAAAGGATCTTGGTCCACTCCCAAATAAACTCTGGATTGGTTTGTTTGTGGTGGGAACGTGATCTAACATTGATCCAGATCAGTGTCTTAAACCCAAAGGCCATGAGAATGCCCCTAACGTGGTACTTTGTGTTAGATAATACAGTGTTGCTGGTGAGTGTTTTTAGATATTTCATATCATTACAGTTGTACCCCACCTCTCGCCCACTGACAGCTGGGATAGGCTCCAGCCCCCCATGACCCTCTTCAGGATAAGCGGTGTAGAAATTAGATGGATGGATATTGTTACAGCTAAATCAAAATGAACTGTTCTAATTTTTCACATAGTTAACCAAGGCAGTGCCTTAGCCAATAATTATGGTCATTGTTGACAAATAGACTACTTTATTAACCCAAAGAGAAATTCTTCTGTTAGAAGTTTTACAAAAAAGCTTAAAGGCTAAGTAGACTATAAAATTTTTTAATTTGTATAGAAAAACTGAATAAAATAAAGAATAAGTTAGAAAAAGTGTTGCTTGATAAATTAAAGTTCCTTATTTATATTCCAGTTATTTATCCACTAAAATCATGCGTATCTGTGGTAAGAGGGATTAGACCAGCTCCAGAAAGCAAGCATGCAATTAGGGTCCATGTGAAATTGTACCTAATGTGTCCACATGCACAGAATGATACTCCACTGCCATGTATTTTCAGGAGGTGTTGTTGAAGTGCCACATATCAACTGTTTAGTGTGTATCATGTTTTGATCTGAAGATTCTGTGGAAGGAGAGATGTTTGCTAACACTTAATGACATTGAGCTCATGAAACGATATTGTATGGACAAAAATTGACAAAAGTTTTGTGACAAATCTTGTGCAGGATGTAACAAAAAGAACTCTTGATGCCTCCACAGAAACCAAGGTCATTGCAACTTTATGTTATTAACAAAACAGCCTCGCAACAGTGATGATTTGTTACAAGTGACAGTTTCAGCCATAGTAAATCAAACTTTGATTGGTGTTGCAGCGCCACAGATAACGCAGTTTTCTTTATCACACGGCATGCAACAGCAAAAACCAGGTGCATTTATGCATATTGCTAGTTTCCCTGGATTTGTTGGAGTCATGGCACACAAATTAAAATCACCACACCGAGCACGATGAGGATGCTTATGTGGATCAAAACGCTATCGCATCATTAACAATCAAGTGGTTATGGATGAGAACTACATGATCACTGGCAGAAAAACTACACCACATCCATATAATGACTTTTTTGCAGCTCTGAATGCCAAGGATTTCTCCATGCTTTAAGTGAAAGTAGGACGCTTCATAAAAAACATAGGTCCTTCTCAGAGGTATGAGTGTTTTGGAGTAATTCTCTGATAAATATAGGCCCTGATTTCATTATATTATAGAAGAAAACAGAAAACTGGGGCTATGGTCAGTTGGATGTGAGGTTTCACACTTGGAAACCTGTTCAATTCTTTTACTGATCAGGCTTCTTTTGCCATTATCGGGTTATCACAGTAGATTTTATACTACAGAGCAGAACAAGAAGCCGCACATGATTGAGAGTGGCTACAAACACTATGGCTCACTACAACCACACTTCACTGTAGGGGATCACTATGCTAAACAGAGGGAAA